TAGAGGTACTAGAGACAAAGTTAAGGTAGAATAGTGACATAGAACTGCCTTAAAAATCAAGTAATCAGTGCTGGGGTGCGGAGAAAGAGTGGGTGAAAAATATATGTCATATCTTCAATTCCTAATCATGGCTGCTAAGTGCCAGGTGTAGATTACTAGTTCTTAAAATATTTATAATGGGATTTTTTATTTGTTTGTGAGTCATATAATACCAGGGATGCTGTAGTTACCCAAGTCACTTCTGCAACTAGACTGATCATACACAGCTAGACCAGACTTAATAAGATGGAGCTAACCTCTATTCCTGTTTATTTTCCTTAATGCGTCTACTTTTGCAGCTATACTGGAAGCCTTTTAGCCTCTTGCACTAGTTTCAGGGGGTGGCACCAGACCACAACTAGTCCATCATGTCAGAGTGCAAATACATCCTACAGATGTTTATGTGATGCTCTGCTTACTCTGAGCGTAAAAGATGAACAATTTGCATTAATTAATAATGCTAAAATACTTGCAAATACTGTAGCCATCAACCAAGTAAACTAGCTCACTACCTTTACGTTTTATACAAAAGAATCCATTTCAAGAGTCAGTGAAGTTCTGTGGATCTGGCTCATTATTATTTATTATTCTTCTTTTGATTGTCATCTTTATTTTCAACTTTGCATAATACCATTAGTAAAATGCAACATGCTTGAGTCTTTCAGCATAGTCCATAAGTGTTCATAAGCATGCTTACAAGTCCCTTATGAGAGGTGCTTTTTCATAAATAGTGTTTATATCAAGAAAACTCAAGCCTGATAAGGTAGATGGCTCAGAGCATAAGGTAGCATGTGCATGGATCAGCTGGAAAGGCTTCTTTGCACTGAAGTGGTCCCTGAAGCAAAAGCTTAGGATATTAGGAAATCTAAAAACTGAGGTAGATGGATATCCCCATAGCTCTTAGCTACTAATAAATGTTAGTGCAATGAAAACTCAGTAATTACCTGATTAATACGAAGTTCCATCAAAAGATAAGAAGCTACTACTGATGATGACAAATACATGCACAAATATTTGCAGGGTCAGGGCTGTATCAAACCATGCAGACTCTATTGGAAAGCAGAAATCAGTTTTGCAGACATGAATTAGACTGTGATTTCAGTTGGTGTCATGCCAATCCAATCACTTCAGTTGAAATCACATTGCTGTCTGATACTATCTATGAAGTGTTCAACTAGGGCACAAACTGCTGCACTGAAAATGCCTAAACTACAATCAGCTCAAGCCCAAAAGCTGCCCTGCTGTGTATTGCCTCTCATTTTATTACAGAAAACCTAAATGCATCCCAATATTCTTTAATGGAAAATAGGAATGAAACTACAGAAAATCAGTTATATATATTTTTGCTGCTAAATTGTAAGATCATACGTACTGGAGCTAGTTTCTCTACATACCATGAGATGAAGGAAGAAGGCTCAGCACCAGTAGCTCTAGATCAGCCTCCACCTGGAACTGCTTAGTAAGGTATATGTAAAAATTATCTTGATAGACAACACAATATAACCCCACTCAGACAGCATTACGCTCCTAAGTAATGTTGCTGGCTCAACTCAATACCTTTAACACTATCACTAGATATAGATTTCCACTGTTATATTTGCCAGGCCTCTTAGTTAATTTAAGCTTTAAGCTTTTAGTCAAAGACTGGAAGCATTGATAACACAGGACACACATAAAATAGGAAGTGCATCTTTCTTCAGTTTAATTCATCTTGCTGCTTTATGAATAGTACAACAGAGAAATCCAAGCAGTTATTGCAAATAGACATGAAGAGACATTTTCCACATACTGTTTTGTCTAATGAACTGGCAGGGAGTGTGGTTTCCCTGACTTTTAATTACTGCACCACCTATAGTTAGGACAAATTCACCTGCCTCTTCTGTCTGAGACTTAATTCATCTCAGATGCATCCTTATTAAAAATGATGAGTCACAGTTTGGATTTTTGCTAAACAGTGTAATGTAACGGAAAGGCAATTTTATGGCAACCAGTATCTTTTTCACTTAGAACATCCACGTGCCTTCCTAATGGATCAATGCCTTTTCAAATCAGAGTTTTCTCATCAAATGTAATCTCATGCTTTATTTGAGAAATGCTAAGCATTTCCCTTAGAATACCTTTGATAAATGAGTAGACTGAAGAGGAGATAATGCTTGATACTGTCCTGTATTTAAGATCCCAAGGAAATTTTCCTCATACATTTTGTTATTTTTCATAAAGTTTTATTTTAACTACTAAAAAAACAGGTATTTCATTGTGGCTATGGCCCAAAGTATATTAGGGCTGAAATCTGGCAAGTGTGGGACATTCAACTTTTTAGGTAAAATATTATTCTATTAATGTGACATGCAAAGCTGGTTTACATTATAGTTTTTCAGAAATACTTTCCTTATTATCTTTTCCTGTATTTACTGTTTTATTAACAGTATTCTCATCAAGATGAAAACCACAGGATTTTGTATTCCTTTTTCCATCGATATAAGTCTTACATGATATGAAGCATGTTTTAATAGCAATGTTATAACACATAAAATACAAACATAAAATAAATGTTGAAAAAAGGCATCTGTAAGCATAAGCTATAAGCATAAACTGTGTATTGTTTGATAACTACGGTGCTCCAACAGACACTAGACAAAAAAAATGTATTTCATTCCAAAATAAAATCTTCATAAAATTTTCATTCAGAACATATATTTTTATATATATATGTATATGTCTCCCTTAGCATATATTTAAATTCTAGGACTAAACCCAAACCGGGGTCAGTGCAAATCTTCAGACTTAAATAATGTGTAGACACTTACTGATAAGAAAAGTTAAAGGAAATTTGAAGAAACCCTACAAGCTCAGCTTCTGCCATTCAAAGACAAGATCAGTTATTCTCCAGGATGGAAAGGCCAGTGTGACTGAAGAGCAATTAAAATTATAAACAGGAATATTAAGAGAGCATGAATTGCTTTCTGCAAAACTATTTCAGGTGTGTGGAACACCCTACAGAAACACCTGCATTGCCTCAGAAAAAACGCTAATGATGACTGATATGAATATGTGTGTGGTTTCGGATGAGTAGGAGGCTTGTATGGAGGTAGGAACATTTGTGATAGGTCATGGGTAGGAGGATGGTAAACAAAACCATGGTATAGGGAGTCAAAAGGAGCCCAGGAATTCCCAGATAATGCAGTGTGCTGAAGGAAATCAGGCTTCAGCCTGAGAAGCTGTTCTTGCAGCCATCTCAGTCAACAAGCGTTGTGCTGTGAATCAGTGAAAATATTAATCTTTTCTTTTAGAGCTACATCAAGTAATGCTTCATGAGGAGATCTGACATAAGGAAATTAAAAAAAATCCTTGGTAGCAGGAAGGCTGAGCAATAAGGCTTATCCTGCTTCAATTTTTATGTTTAAAGATTTTTAGTACTGGAGGAAAATAAGACCATTTGAAAAACAGTGCTTAAAAATGCATAGTTTTTCATCTTCTGTGAGATGAGAGTTTTACGTACATAACTATAAAATCTAGAAAGAAGATCACATCTGATGTAAATTACAAGAGGTGCTCAGGCGCTACCTTGTGTTTAATGTGCAACTACATACTTCTGCAGATATGGACCCTCCAGCGTTTGAGCAAAGCAAACAACAGCCCATCTCATCTTGAAAACAAAGAAGTTTCCTGCATTGCCTTCCTATCACTTGGGACCAGTATGATTATCTACTGAGGAGGAAAATCTAATGTAAATGTTGTTTTTAAATAGTCACTAATTCTATGACATCATATTTTATGAATCCAGAGTTTAAAACAATAATATAAACACCTTTGTATTCCTTATTTCAGTTTGGAAAAACATCCATTAAATTCTCTATAAAATAATAATCAGAAGACGAGTGCCAGAATACCTTTCTTGCTCAAGAGAAACACTAGTAAAAGATAAATGGGATTAAAAGATCTAAAATTATGTGCACTGGTTGAGTGATCTTGGGTCTTTATTACATATCCTATACTGAAACATGGAAATGTTTGTTATAAATTGGTAGTTATAAACCACATAGACAGTCTTGATCAGCAAAATTCTTTATAGCTGACAAAAAAGATTAATTCTGAAAACTATGTTGAAAACTGGGCTCTCTGCTACAGTAAATCTAGACTAACACCTACATGAAAACTCTTGAGACTAAGTTACATTTTTAGTATTGTTCTATAATTGTACAGTTTCTGTACTGAGCTTCCATTGTGAATACAAAGAAAACTCTAACTTAAAAATAATGATAAATTACGAAGTTATTAAGTCAATTTTCAAACTGATATTCATATAAACAAATAAAAAAATACATTCAGTAATTCTGGTTAAAGAGGAGAGCATATAATTCACAGTGTTGTAGGTTTTTTTTATTGTATTTGTAAGAAACTTGTTATGATACTGAATTTCACACTTTTATATTCTAAGGAACTGAACAAATTTTGCCTTGCACTGATAGTAAGAAAATCTTAAAAAAAAACCCCTAGCATATCTTTAGGCAGAAAGCAAGTGCCATGTCTTTGCTCACTTTTTACCCCTTTGAATGTGCAGTTCTCCCGGAAATTAAGGCTACACCTTCATGATAAGACAAACAAAATATCTGACAGTGTTGTTTGGCTGGTTGTAAACAGAAAAAGAAGGCAAAGCAAAAAATATCAGACTTTTCTGGGACTTCTGTAAACAGGTCTGGGAAACATTTCACAAAGACAAAAGAATGATGCCTTTTAGATTGATGCAATAGTTTTACAGTTACTATTTATTAAAATTTTGTTTTTTTTTTCTTTATTCTGAGAGGAACACTTTTTTTTTTTTCCTTGAATATCAAGAACCGTAGATTTGTGCCAAAGAGAATTTTTAAGAGATGGCATTTTATCTTTGTACTGAATTGCATCATTTTTTACATCACTGTAATTATATTTAAATGGCATAATGCACAGTTGTTAGCAAAAAAAAAAAAAAAGCCCTGAAAAAACATGTTTTTTGATAACTCACGAATCTTACATGTTATGATTTATTTTACTGTCTCTTTATTTTCCATGGATTTTGTTTTACTTACAGATCTCACGATTTATGGCCCAATATTAGATGAAACCCAGGGGAGGGGAGAAGAACAGAAAGGCTGTATTTCTGGTTTAGAAATATAACTCACTGGCTCAGTATTAGAAATCACACATTACTAGTACTTTATTTTACATTTTTATAGCTCATTGCTCACCGGTATCTCCTTATGGGTTCTTACCACAATAAAAACATGGGTTCCATACCTAATATTTTGCATACTAATAATTTTTGCATATCTAATTAATGCTATACAGATAAGGACTGATATACAAATAATATTACACATCCCTAAATGCTTGTCCAAAGAATGCAAATCTGCTTTTCATAGGAAATACAACTGATATCTTGTTTGCATTTTTCCTCAAAAATATCAGTGCAAATCTGTGTTCTTTTGCCATCTAATGGATTTCGCAACAGAACAACGAAGGACACACGGTATTCAAATGTATAATTGCTGTACATTAGTGTTATATTAGTAAGTTACTTCAGTCACTAGTCTGTCTAATTCTCCCATCTCTGTTTCTCTCTTTGAGACCTTAACTCAGGTCCTGCCACTAAATCTTTTGTTATTGAAGTGAGCAGTCCACTGAGGACAGATTCAGGTAACAGCAATAATCCTGAGGAAGGATCCCTCCAAAGCAAGGAAGAGAGCAGACAGCTTCTGTCAAACTCATCGTCAGAAATGATGAGCCCTCACCAAAGGTGTATTTTTCTTTTCAAAGAAGGAACATATTCACACATTTTGCAGACCTCAGGGAAGACTCCAGTTAAGGCCACCCTGACAAATGTAGACAGCAGTAGCAGAGACTAGCACCAGTCCCACTGGAAATGGCCCTTCTACCTCCTTGAAAGCCCCCCATGATGCTGCCCAGAGAAACCTGTCATACAGCCTGGGGCAAGGGCTGCTCTGCAGAAAACAGCATAGCTGTTTCTCAGTGAACAAAGCCTGTTATAGATGACAAAACAATAAAGTCTTGTCAGACCCCTCCACTACCACAAATCTAAGGTTACTGCATGTTGGAGGTGAGTGAAGGCAGACCACATTAAGGTAGATCAGAGAAAAGAGGCATCATCTGCATCCACACAGGTATATAGTTTTGAAACTCCATATCATCACAGTACAATCTGTGCTCCTCCAAGATGAGCATAACTTGTATGACTATGAGGTCATAATCTGCAACTGAAGCTGCAAGAAAATGGTGCCAGGAATGTATATATACTAATTCAAATAAAAGACAAGGAAAAATGAAATTACAAATAATTCAAAAGATGCTTCATTAAAAAAAAAGAGTCAGCTTTTTAATTAACTAAGGCACTGACTCAGGCTTCAGTGAAAGTAATGGGCTGCCTTGTTCCACTTCCCTCACTCCAGAAGCAGTTAAGTTGTCTAAGCACATAGACTTTCATTGATATTTCAGATCTTCTGAGTGTCAGACATTCGCATAGAACAGACGTGGTAGGACTAGGAGCTCCCTTATTATTCTGCAGGTGGGGGCCAAGTAAGAGACCTGCAGTATCTAATGTGGCTTAGATACTTATGTTAACATTATCAAATTCCCACCACCTTGAGGAGAAGCCTGTGGGATACAATTTGCTGTGCTGTCATTGTCATCTCAGATTGGATGGAGAAGCCAAGTGATTCTGACATTTCCTGGGGAATAAAAAAATAAAAAAACAAACAAATAAACAAACCCCAAACAACTTTAGACAAATTGTGTAACTGACTTTAATAGTTTTCATATTAAATTCCTTCTTACATGCATTTTCAAAGCCAGTACTTTGTAAGAGCAGTGCACACAGTGTTTGGTAGATTTAATTATTTGTTGTATACAGACTGTACAAACTATATAATCGCATAGCATGGGAGTATATGATTTTATTTTATGGATAAATTAGTGTAAAAATAATCTATTTTATAAAGATTTTAAAAGCTAACATTTCTGAAGATGTTTGGGAGAAAGTTGTTCAGGAAATGCAGTGATTTCAAATTGCATTTGATAAAAAGAAGCAGCATTCTAAATCAGATTTAACTAATCCTTAAGCGAGGGGTTTTCAGTGTTTAGAGTGGAAAGGAATCAGAGCTGCAATTAGAGAAAGAAGCCAGAATGAATTCTTCTCATAGCAAAAACTTAGGTTTGGATTTCTGCCATCTCCCTCTCTGACTGATGTCTTTATGTGATATCAGCCTTGGTGAAAAAAGCAAAATAAATAAATTAAAAAAATCCATACAAAACCCCAGAGTAGGGGGCCTCTAGGAGTAGGCTAAAGTTAGGACTTTTGTTTGACATAAACTAAAATTAAAGACTATTTACAATGGAATTTGCAGATTAGTTAGGAATATCCAAGTCCCCTTTGTTCTAACTACATGAAAGAACTATTTTCTTGACTATTGGACTCTTGAGATTACTGCCCTCTGATGTTCTGCTCCTGGACTGGGGATCCAAATATATAGCTCAATACCATGTGTGATGCCTTGTGTCTGAAAAAAAACTTCTTTGGTTATAAATGACTGAGTATGGATGGTTGTTTTCCATTAATTTCTCCTATACACAATTAAATCATATTATTAGAAATTATGTTTTTATATAATTCAAAGGGAAGATGCAAATAAAATCTACAGCAACCTTGTTCCTATACAGGTTCTTCTTAAAAGACTGCATGAAATAATGTCCTGGGTTCAGCAGTAGCAGTCATGTTTCTCCTTCTTGGTAGCTGGTGCAGTGCAGTGTTTTGACTTTCGGCCTGGGAACAGAGCTGATAACAATGATGTTTTGGTTTGGCCAAGGACTTTGTGAGCCTCACACTCTGCCAGGGAGGAGGGGAAGCCAGGAGGAAGCAGAGACAGGACACCTGACCCAAACTGACCAAAGAGGTATTCCATACCACAGCACATCACGCCCAGGATGTAACTGGGAGTGACCCAGAAGGGCTGGGAGACTGCAGGGTTGGAGGAGGTATCGGTCGGTGCTTGGTCGAGCTGGGGGGGGCGAGTTATCAGTTGGCTGGTGGTGAGGTGTTGTATTCTCTTCCCTTGTTATTTCCTTTATCATTATTATCATTGGTGGTAGCAGTAGTGATCTGTGTTATACCTTAGTTACTAAACTGTTCTTATCTCAACCCGTGGGAGTTGCATTCTTTTCGATTCTCCTCTCCGTCCCTCCAGGAGTAGGGGGAGGGAAAGAAGGGGGGGAGTGAGTGAACGAGTTACCTGACTGGGTTTAAACCACGACAAATAATAAACATATAGCTGAAATCTAGTGCATTTTTGTAATCTTTGTATAGAAAGCCAAGGTCACATTAAGGTGGAAAGCAACATAGAAACTGAGATGGAAACAGTTTAAGAGTTTAAATTAATATTATAGACAAAACAAAAAATAAATTGATCTTATCTTTAGTACCTATATTCCAATCTTATGGTGCATTTTTCATTCAGATGTCTCCTGGAGAAATTCTGTGGAAACAACAAGAAATAGGTAAAATTTCCATGGCACTTTAGTAATGAAGAAAAACCCTTGTCTCTCTGGTCTTTCTCTAGGTGATCATCTCTCAACTGATTAGGTTGTCCTACTTCCCTTGAAGTCCATGAATACATGGTTCTAATGAATTTTAATGAATCTTTAAGAATTTTTAATATTATTCAGTAGTTATTAGTAGTAGCATATGTTGTGCATTAATAATAGACATACATCCACTTCCAAGACAGCTAATTGAACAGCATATTCTCTTCTTAAAAGACAGATTAGGAAAAATGTCATACTAATTGTTTTGAAAATAATACTAAAAAAGGTATGTATCAATGGTAATGAAGTTGAGTAAAAGGCAATTATTTACTGAAATGGGCCCTTAATTCAGTAGTCCATTGGTAGAGAATTTTTAAGTCATTTGTACATGAATGAGCATATGGTGGGTCAGAATTTAGTTAGGTTAGTCTGAACAGAAAGCATAAGAAAAAGAGACCTGTAGCTACAGAAGCAACAAGACCTGTTCATCAGAGCATCAGTCTTCCTCAGTTTAAAAGCAGATACAAGCTACTGAAGTTTTAGTGAAAGCATCTGGTCATGATCACTCTAACGTTCAGCAGTAAGTGAAGCAATCAGAAGTCATGTAGTGGAAGTCAGACGCCTTATCCGGTCACAGACAGCGTTAGACAGCGAGCTGACTACAGGAAGTCAAATGTCCTTCAAAACATGACATTCTCTCTCCTTTGGTCACAGAGGACAATTTTAATTAGGAAAGTTGCAACTGGATTAGCCAGTCTCCCATTCCACACAGGGGTTTCTTGTGAGAGAGAATGGTACCAGTTTCTCTTTAGACCCACATAGGTGGGTGGCTCATGTGTTTCTCCAAACAGATCCAGCTCTATTAATCTGACATTAATTAGGGAAGACCCCTTTCTACCTCTGTTTTATAAGAAAGATTACACAGTTTTAGGGACTTTGTTCTTCTATCATGAATGAGCTAAAAATAACTTGATGTGGTGTTTCACATCTAGCTACACCCCTATTATTGTCATCATCCACCTTTTCTGCTTTCAGCAGGCTGGTACGCAAAGGAACTTTTGCTAATGATATACTGGATCACCAATGAGAGCCCTGTCAGCTGTGGGGAAGCCACATTTTGTGTGCTCTGGGGCCCAGGAGTGTGGCTGCTGTCTGAGGCAGATGAACCAGAAGACACAGTGACCCCACCAGCAGCAGGGCAAAGCCCTCACCCTGAAAGTTCAGCCCCATGGCACATGAGCACAGTAAGTTGGACAGGGCTGCTGACGATAACAAGTTGTGTCAGCAGTCCAGTGACTTTCATACAAATTCACAATAGCAAGTCAAGTCCAATGTCCATCCAGGAAGTCATCCAAGTCAAGAACAGCAGAAGGCAGACAGTGGTCTGGAGGCAGCAGCAGCACAGCCTAAGTAGGGAATAGGGTCCCAGCCTGAGATGAAATAGGGCTCCTGGGCCATAGGCAAGGGAGTGAGGTAGGTCCTTGGTGAAGCCAGTCAGGGCCATATAGAATCTTCTTACTGCAGTGTGTAGTGAGAAGCAGTATATCATTATTGTCTCCAGGCCCTGACCCTCATGTCTTTTAACTCAGGCACTGTTTATAGAGAAAAAGAGAAATGTAACAGATATAAATCACTTGGTCTTCAGTGTAGAGAGCCAAGGGCCATTATCATGATCTATTATTTAGATATTATTTAGCAGTTAAGGACCAAGGCTACACTGTTCTTGGCGCTGCAGAATAGAGCTCTTCCACCCACGGTTCATGGTTGTGCGTCATAAAGAATGTAAGGAAACAAGAGCATAAAGGGGAAAATTGATGGGTAAAACCTAGAGTTCTGTGCAGTGAACAGCAGTCTCACACCAGCTCTTGTTTAAACAGTTAATGAGAATTGCTCAGCATTTCTTTGCTGCCTCCCCTGCCTGAGGTTCATAAAGCCAACTGTGGGAGCTCTGAACTGTTGAAAAGAATACAATTAACTCTCATTTTCCTCATTGAACTTGGCAATTTAAGTGGTTTCATTGTTTATAATATGTATGTTTATATATGTGTGTTCATCCCTATGTACTGGTGATGTCTTTAAATGATTGTACTGAGTTGTTTCTTTGGGGGTTTGGTTGGGGATTTTTTGTTGTTATTTTGATTGGTTTTCCCCCCAGTCGATTGTCTTTCTGGCGTCTGGTATGAGAAATTTTGGGATCATACAATGTAATAGCTCTTCCAGAGCAGTCTTTCTGTCCTTGAGTGCTAAGATCTAGTAAGATTCTCATTCCAAGTTAGCCAGGAAGTGGAGGAGAGCAGTGATAATCAATTACCAGGACAAAGTAAATGGTGCCTTCTGACCTCTGTTATAAGAATATAACTCACATCACCTACCTAATTTTTATGTCTGACCCTTTCATGTCTCTACAGAATTCAATTAATTGGATATCACTATTTCAGAGGACTCCTGTATGTCTTACGGTTTTCTTATGACAAGCTCTGTACTCAATTACATTTAAATGACTGTGTTTGTCTTGTTTTGTCTACTTTGTAATGCTTAATTAGGTTGACAGAGAGGTAATGTCAGTCTGCATGAAAGGTATCTGTGTGGAAGATATTGGTACTTAACTATATTCTGTCCCTGATTTTTGAGTGGAAGCCTGCTATTAATTCTCAACTTTCAATATGGGACAGATCGAAATTCATTTACTCTCAAAAAATTTTAGCCTGTTTAAGCACTGGCAGCCACAGCCACTCTGAGATGAATTAATGGTGACACAATATTACTTTTTTGAACACACAGAACTGGTTCTGAAATGGGCAGGGAACAATGAAACCATTACATCGTTAAGCTTTGTATATTATTAGACGTATTATAGGCTACATGCTGAGGAAATAACCAGAAATAATATCTTCCTTTTTTTTTTCACCAAAGAAATGACAGTAGCATTTATCTATACACAAAAGGAGACAAATAAGAGGTGCAGTCTCACATACACACACAGCTGTAAATCTTTCTGGTTGCTTTGTATGTAGATATGAGGTTGGAGTGTAAAGACACATCATAGTGATCATCCTTTAGCCTTAATCTGGAGACTTCCACAGCTAGCAGAGTAAGCCAGTGTAGTTCTAGCTAAGGATAAATTCATCTCAGTTGAAGTTATATCAGTAATGTGCATAATAAAGAACATGAAGACATATGAGATGTATGCTAAAATGAACTTATATGTGATTTTACAGTTTTCAAGTACTGTTGAATGAAAAAATAGTGCTCATATCAATGTTCATGGGTAATAGCAAAGATAGGAGGCATCATGTAGTGAACTGAAAGTTACTACACAAAGTTGGTAGATATATTTTTTACTAGAGGTTAAAGTAGCTATTACTAGCTAATAAAACTAGTTAAAGTACTGCTAGTAAAATATGTTGCTAATTAATAGCACAGAGTGAAACTTCAGACCTTTAAAATGGTGGCATAACCCATTTTGATTCCATTATGGTCAAGATAAATTAATAACTCTTCATGTAAGTATCAATGAAATAAATACATAAGTAAATAAACTCCCTATTATGTTACCAAATGTTTGCTAAAATTCAGCTGAATTAAACAATAATTTATTCCCAACTATTCTGTCTTGAAGGAAGCTTCTTTGTTCAAAAAAAGACCAATTACTGAAGTCACTGACAGCAACCACTCCTATTTCTTCATATTTCTTCATCAGTGAGTATGGAAACATTTTAACTTCTCAGTGGTCTGGCATTTAAACAAAAGTTTAAGCTGTAACCTTTTTACAGTCCTTTAAATGCATTTTTTTTTCACCAGACAGGAGGTTCTGCTATCTGGCTCACAAAAAAAAAAAAAAAAAAAAAAAAAAAGAGGAGAGAAAAAAGAAATTACCTCTTCCTACCTCCAATTTTTTTTTGCTAACACATATGTGGTTGTATGTTGGGGCCAACATATTTTGTAATTTATATTTGTATAGATTTAACAGGCAAGAGGGACTAGCTCATTGGTAAACCCTGTCTCATTTATACAGAAATTTATTGGTCTGAGAGGTCACTCGGCATATAAATTTAAAAGTGCTGCAACATTAATTTCTCTAAAAGGCATAGAAACCTCCTCCTTTGTGTTTATGTACCCAAATGAGGCCACACAGATGGTGTCATGTTGTGGTTATGTCTCCCGTTATTCCAGCCTTGCAGAGGCCGTCTTGTGCTAAATGGCGAATGCATTTGTCTAACCGTGAAGGATTAAACAGATGACATGGAGCTGGGAGCTTACAGAAGGTGCTTCATTAGGCTAAACTGTTCACATTCTCACCCATACCATAGGTAGCTCTGCCAAAAGGTTAGAAGCACAAAGATTTAGGTGCTCCTTCAGGATGTGAACTTATTACCTGTCTCAGGAGAGAAATGCAGTAAGAATATAATACTTCCTAGGACAGTACCAGGTCAGCCAGCATGGCCTTGAGTGTTAACGGTGAAATCTTAACCTCAGTGAGTGCAGAAGGAATGCTTTCAATAATAAACTCAGATAGTGGGTTCAGGAAAGCAGATGATGCTGATTTCCTCATCTCCAAGATCTTTTCCACTTGCATGTAACTGCATACAGCAGATTATACTGTCAGTTTGCAGCTTCCTTCCTTCCTCTGATGCTGATCTCTGGTACTTGGAAAGGAGAAAGGTAAATACTGGTTTTCAAGAGGGTGGCTTGCCTCTTTCATAAAGCCCATCGCTCTCTTCTCCAGCATCTTTCATCATATGATCTGACACCTGCCTATAAACAGACCTGGATACTCCCATGTGTCAGACAGGGCATCAAGACAGAAACTTAAGAGAAGAAAAGAAAAAAACACTGAGGAAAAGGAAGGATGAATGCTACAGACATAGAAGAATCTATTCAGTCAGTCCATTAATTTCTTGCCAAATTTCATCAAGGAAGACATTAACTACTTCAGATCACAGATGAAATG